AATAAAAAAAACCTTTAAAAAAAAAATAAATAAATATTAACTAGTTTTACTGGGAACCGCCTTCTTGAGTTGAGGGAAGTTTTACCAGCATGGCTCCTGGATTCCGAACCCCTTCAGACCTCTGTGCTAAAATACACAGGCCTGCTAAGACGTCAAAGGTGTGCTCCAACAGCAGCTGAGCGATGACACACAGAGCTGTCTCTCCCCTCTCGAGGGAGAGGCTTCTCATCAGATACCACAGACCCAAACCCTGTCACTGCTGCAAGGACAAGAGTGCCACATCCAGAGTGGGCCACTAAGGCCTCAACGGACAAGAGCTAAATAAATCATAAGCACACCACCTTGTTAAACACCAGCCAGCCTCCTTCGGCTCTCAGGGCGACCAGCAGCAGATTTAGACACTGTAATGCCTGTGTACGTTTACTTACGCAGACATAATCATAGTCAATGCTAAGGATCCATCAGATGCCCAATTCTAAATGCTTCAACTGATGAAAGCAAGTTAAGTGACATGCCAAAGGGGACACACTAGCAGGTGAGACCAGTCGGGGATCTGAAGCCATACTCTTAAGCACCATGTGCCCTGATGCTTTGCCCTTCTCTAAGACTTACTAGAAGAGTCTGCCCCGGTGGGTTTGCCTGGGTATCCACGGACTTCCTGGACACCAAGCAGTCAGCCTTCATCCACATCCCCTAGAGCGGCTTTCCAGCCTGGCCTGCAGGTGACCAGGCTGGGAATGGGTGGGGCCAGAGGGTGACCCATCACAACCACCCTGACATCAGAGCTGCTGGTGCCTCATTCTCCTGCTCTGCTCAGCCTGAGCGCCTTCCCAGATGGAAGGACAGAGGTTCTCCAAATAAGCCCCACCAACCCCTGCCATCCACCCAGGAGAAAAGCCTGGAACTACTCATTCCTCGAGGCGCTCAACATCCAAGTCTCCTGCAACACAGAAGAAGGAATGTATCGAACAAACTCAAATGGCTTAGTGTTAGTGCGTTTTCTTCATTACTTAGTGCTAACGTGTGCTTCCTTCCCACACACTGAATTTGTTTGGACATTTCCAACAGAACAAGAAAACGAGAGAACATAAATGCATGGGAAATTATTCTTTCCAAAGTTCCAACCACAACGTGCCTATTAGCAAATGGGCTGCACTGTTCTCTAAACGAGTGCTCATCTGTGTGGTCCTCACCATTTAGGTCGAGAAGAGGCTGACAGCCTGAGTCTCATTCAGAAAAACGTTATTCTACTGCACGGGTCAAGTTTAACAACTATGAATATGGAATGTTTCCCACCAATCCAGTAGGGCTAGTCCTTTTCCGGTTGGCCATTCTCAAGCAGCCAGAGCAGGGAGGAGATAAGAACACGGCATCTTTGGGTACTTCCCTTCCATTTCTGGGTGGAACCATCCTGTTGACTCCCACGTTATGCAGGGTTCAGAGGAGGAATCCAGAGCAGAGACCCGCCAGCAGTTCGACACAAGTCTGTGGCTGTTCAAGCCCTGGGGAGCTGGAAATAGCCAACAGAGCTCCCAAGAACACATCCAATGTGTTTCCCGAAGTAGCTCCAAATCCAGAAGGGGCTTCAGGCTTTAGCCAGAGCAGGCAAATATCAACAAGTGGCAAGCTCTTGCCTTCTATCTCCTCCACGAGCAACTCTGAGCAGTGTGAACCTAAAGAGAAGCCCATCATGACCAGCTGCTGTGTCCCAAACCTGGAGGATTCCTGTGAATTTGCAGCTTTCCTCTTTGTAAGTAATGGGGAAATATCCACCATCATGGTGACGCCCAAGAAAATCATATTCGTTTGCCTTCTTCAAGGGCTTCTGTATTTGTGAAAGAATTAAATCAGATGGTAGTTTTCAAGAAGGACAGAAGACAGCCACATTCCATTTCCAGGGGACTTTGGAAACTGGCTACCTCCATGTGTTCACCTCCAAACGCTGTAGTTATTTCTTGTATGCCCAAACTGCATGCAGAAAGCCCACATGATTTTCCCCTCTGTGACACTTAACACTTGACTTGGAGTCAAGGTGATCAGAAAGCATTACATAAAAGATTATAACTTCAAAAGAGGAATTCCAGAGAGATAGGACTTTAAGGAATTAAAGATCACATTTCCATACAAACATCTGCCAGAGAAGGAAAAAACAACAACAGCAACAAAACAAAGGAAAAAGCTCCCAGGGCTGCAGCCCACATGCACAGAGCTGCTTCTGGATACACAATATTTTCCAAACCTCTCCAGGATGCATTAAGAGCACCATCTTTCTTCTTCACATAGCTTCAGTTCCTTGCTTAGAAAAGTGTTTCTGGTATGAGGCAACTAGGGCTTCCGGCCACAAAGCTTCCAAAGGCACACAGTGCCTTGGAGATACTGGAGTGTTCCAAATAGCCAGGAGATGCACAAGGGCCCCATGGTTGACAGAGCATCACGGACCAGTCATTAAATCTGCTCTCAACCCCTTAGTTAGTCCAGAGCCAGGCAAGATCTCATGCCATCCTGGACCCTCAAGTGTTCCCTCCAATGCTGAAAACTGGCTTTCTGTTCTATTTCCACAACCCTGGGGCATCTTTTTTGGCTGTGAGAAAGTTCAATCTCAAAGAAAATCACATTCACAACAATGGTGGGTGAGCATGAACACAGCCCAGGGGTGTCCAGGAGTCTACGTTAGGTATTGGGCATGCATGTATATTGCATTCCCCAATTCTGTAGTTCATTCCCTACATGACCAGGAAGAAAGAAAAAACACACCTGCAAATGTTGGTGTCAGGGGTTGAATCGTGATCCCCAAAAAACCATGTTGAAGTCCGTGACATCTGTGAATGTGGCCAGAAATATGGTCTTTGCAGATGTAATCAAGTTGGGATGCATTCATACGGAATTAGGATGGGCCTCAGACCCAGTGGCTGGATTTCATAAAGACAGACATCTGGAGACCCCCAGACACACACACAGGAAAGGCTGTGCGACAACAGACGCAGGGACTGGAGTAGCACAGCCAAGAGTCCGAGATGCCCGGGACTGCCAGCCACCTCCAGAAGCTGGGCTAGGTGACAGATGA